CTCAGCTGTTGAGATAAAAACAACCTAGTAAAATAAGGACTAAATACATCAAGTTCAAACCGGTCATTTTCAAAAAAATCAGGAACATGCTCTGATATGGAACATTCCACTCTGAGCCCAGCTGTAGCTGCCTAAATAAGGAGGTATAAAACATCAACACTGACTGCCTGTGCTACTTGAAAAAAAGCAATGGTATCCATCTGTGGTTCAAGACAGCTGTAATTCATACAAGATTCAGGTACAGCTTCTGCAGTTAACAATCCAGTTTCTCCTCAGGAAGCACAAATAAATGAGCCTGAATGGTGCTTGGCAACATCAAATTAGGGAATCTTACCTGTCATATGTGCAGTGTGGCTCATCATGCACAATTCTCTGGTGATCACACTGACCTGCTTCTCCTCCTCCCCACTGCTCTTCATACTGTCCCTAGTGACTCCTGGCCGTATGAAGAGCAGAATGTGGCAGGTAAAGCCAGGAAGACTGGAGTCAAAACAAGTAGCTGAAAGATGGAAGTGGATGTGAGAGGAAAAAAAGGTTTCTCCTAAAATATTCAGCATCAGGATTTCATCTACCACTTTGTGTACTTCCTACAAATGCTGAAAAATATAACAACTCATGTAAAAATGCCAATTATTTTCAGAGATTAATACACTGGCTCTTAGGTACAGTTTGATTGTGTATTGATTGGTGGTAGCCTTTTAAATTGAAGACAAAGCCTTCAAAAAATAAAAAAGCCACTGACCCAAGAAGGATCCGGTGTCAGTTCTGTAAGATGTAGCTGGCAAAGCTTTGATTGTGTAAGACGAGGTGAGTGAACTTGCTGCCAAGCTGGAATCTTCCATTCTGCCTAAACAAACCCTTTTTCTGATTCAATTGTTTCTCTCCATCCTTGGCCTCAAGTTGTATCTAAACTGAAATCTCGCCAGCCTCTCTTCTCAACAGCTGCAAATTAACTGCAGGGATCCCAGCACAGTCTGTAACAGGTGGCTCCGTGCCTCGTGCCGCAATTGGTGTGCTCAGGGCAAGGAATGCAGCACTGAATCCTGATGCTTTGCAAGGGCTCTCAGATTTACAATCATGTAGGAAGTGATGGGGTGAAACAGAGTATGTCAGATAACACAGGAAAAGGACACGGAGGAGAAACATAGCTGTTCTAAAAATGCTTGCAAGTCTCCAAGATGTAAGACAAGAGAAGGCAGGAATAACAGGGAATTTTAGAAGCTTTCAGAAATGCAGCAAAATCATGCCCATTGTGGTACTTTCCTTCTGAGAGAGGCAATATTCATGTCAAACTTGTGGCAGGTTTCTAAATGAATTACGCTTCGGCTATGCCAAATACTTTTTATTAATCTGAAATATCATTAAAGATACCTTAGTTCTAAGAGCAAAGCAGGTAGCTTTTGCTTATCACTAGTAAGTAATCCAAATTCATTTGCAGTTTCCCTTTGTACTATTTCCGGGACCAGGAGCACTGGGGGCTGCAGGTACCTTGATGCTGCAGAACCAGGCTAGATTAAGCAAGCTTGGCTGTGTTCCTGGGAAGGGGAAGGAGGTGGTGGCAAGTGTGGGGTTTGTGAGAGTGGCATCAGCTGGTGCCTCTAATCCCACTCAGCACCACACACTCGTGCTGCTCCTGCAGAGCTGAGGGCTGCTGCTCTGCCCAAGGTATTGAAATACCCTGAAGCACAAGTGCATGGACAGGCAAGTGGTTGCATGGCACCAGTTCTGTGAGGCTGAACATGTCTACTCCTCACTCCCAAGTGTCGCACGTATTCGCATTATCCAAGATCCTCAGCTTTTCCATATCTGAAGGGGACTTGACTGTCAAATGACCCAAAATGGAGATATATCAACCAGAAAATATTTTCCATTTCTACTCAAAGCAGCTCATCTACACAGAAGTAAAAATCCAGGGCGATACTATACATCAAGAACAAGAGGTATTGGGCTGTGAATATTTTTGTGTCTCACAGCTAAGAAACTGTAAAATGGTTCTCTTGTCTCTCTCTTCATCTTCTCACACTTGGACCCCAAAAAGAACCTCAAGTTTAAGACACAAATACAACACACAAGGACTCTTCTCAAACAGTTTAATAGCAAATAAACAAAGGAAGGTACCACACTTGGCATATACAAAATGACTTGTTGTCGGTGTGTCTGTGCAATTAAAACAGCTTTAAGTTGCCCTTTGGGACAAAAAGAAAAAAAACCACACACACACACAAAAGGAAGAAAATTCCTTTAACACATACTCGCTTGTTCCAAACTTGTAACAAATCTTTTCATTTTTAAATCCACTACACAAACTCTGTGATCAGATCAGAAAAGCAACACGCGCTCCTCTGCTTTTTAAACCATTAAAGTAAAATCTGTAATTCTCTACAGAGTACAACACAATTTCACACAAAAAGACATTTTGTTTTGCAAATCAAAACAAGAAAAAAAGGAACAGCTCAAACAAGGTAAAGAAAAGCATTTCTACGACTGAACCACGACTTCGAGTTGATTAAATCCCGTTAACTGCAGAACAGACTCTACATTTGGTCATAGTGGCAATTTGTTTTCTCGTCACATTGTGAATCACTTTACATTGTTTTCTAGTAGAAAAGGCAAAAAACTGTACAAAACCCCTAGTGTTAAATACAATGTTTGTACCAATAAAAAAGCCCACAGGTTTGTCTCCAAAATGTAAATTTTCTTTTTAAATTATTCACAAAAAGCAGCCAAAAATCAGAAAGGCAGCTGCTGCTCCACTGTCTCAAATCCATTAAAACCACCACAGAACAATTAAAACAACCAAAGGAAGGAAAGGAAAGAAGAAAGGAAAGAAACACCCAACATTTGGCATTTTGGTATTCTTCAGATATTTTTCCACAGGCTTCCCCCAAGGTTCCTTATGGAACCAAATGCACACGTACAGAAACGTACTGGCAGTTCCTCCATACACTGCAGGGTATCAGTGCCCCCCAGCACACAGCCCTGTGCATTCAGACTGTGGGACTAACAGCAGCCAGCCCCCAACTCTACTTCCCAAATTAACGGGTCCCTACCCTTTTTCATTCAGCCTCACGATTCACTCCCAGGTACATGTACCATATTCAAATTGTTCTTCTTTGTAAGCAGATTAAGGACTGTCTACACAAATCTGGTTGATACCTAGTGAGAATACAGTATCCTCAACCAACTTAGGAGGATAGAAAACAATCTTTGCATCTTTACATTATCCCAAATACTGGACAAAATTAAGATTTCTATCCAATCAAACTCCACTTGTTTTCTCAGCAAAAACCCTTCTGGAATTCCATTTCACATTATTTCAAATGTTAAGATACCTACACTAGCTTGCTGCTGCTTCTGACTGAAACTTCATCACAGCATACACTCTTCAGGTGCCTTCATCTAGAAGCTACTTCCCAGTTTCTACCTGTGCAGATGGTATATAGGGCAGGGGAAGCCTGCTACCCAGAGAGCAGTAACCTGTTCTAGTTCATCCTGCAAGCCAGAAAAACTGCTCAGCTCATTACCCAATTAAAAAATAAACAAAAACTAAAAAATCTCCGCAGAGATTCCCCAGCTAAGGCCCTTGAAAAGACAGCTGGGGATGGTACCCTGTTCAGGTAACAGCTTCAGAGGCTGTTGTATTGTGCTTGTCGTTTGGGAAAAGAGCCAGCAGTTGTAGGACCAGTGTTACAAATGCTTTCTCTGGGATATTTAAAACACTTTATTTCATGAGCTTACCTAGATCCTTCCAGAATCCTGCCACCAAACTCTGACTGATGGTATTGTATTAGATTTGGGCTGGACTTCACAAAAATGTGCCCTGAGTTGTACAAAATGCTCAGTGTTTGAAATGAGCCCTAGCTTCAGATAGCTTTGGAAACAGAAATACTGCGAGTTCCCCCACCTTCCTGCTCTCAGCTATCCCCTTCCACCAGAAGTTCCACTAGGGGAACAGTGTAACCAAGCACCCTCAGAGCTTCTGACAGCACTGGAGATGAGCAAGGTCCAGGTGCTCTGTCAGGCAGACAGTCTAAGTGCACAGGTAGATGCCCTCAGGTGGCTTCTGATCAGATTATTTGCCATACCAAACCCACCAATTTAAAGGATACCTTTGAAACCCATTAAATTGCTCAGTTTTTGCACAAACTATAGAAAACAGAGAGGTGAAGGTGATATATACGAGGGTGTGAAGAAAACAGCAGGAAACATGCACAACATTTCTGGGCACTATTTTAGTTTGAAAGATTAAAACAAAAACATCACATTTTGCTGAGGAGATTGTAGTTACAAAAAAATCAAGCATGCCAGAGCTTAACAAAATACAACATCAACTTTGATCAAATTTTCACTGCAGACTGATAATCACACAGGGAAGCAGGGGAAAAAATAAAAATAATTAAAAAAAAAATCAGTAAATGCCAGGGCAAAAATGTAGCTACAATTGGAGTAAAACATAGTTCAAGTGTTTTCTGTTGATGCCACTTCAAGTCACAAGTTTGAACTCATAAAAACACATGCTGTCTCCTCAAGCACAGAAACCAGATCAGCAAAATGTGACTAGGAAGTCTCCTGAAAGATTGAGTCACACCATATAATTGACTTTTTCTTTGAACTGTGTTTTTAAAACTAAGCACACAGAAAAAACTAAGCCTAGAAAGTGATTGGCTGTATGTTCACAGAAATACAAATACTCCACAAGGTATGCTAGCAAGGCTGCTCTGAAGACAAATTACAAAGAATCAGATTCACAAAATCAAGTGGTTATCTTACGAAGGTCTAGAAAAATAGAAATTCTTTTATATTCAAATGCAAGTTTAAATATTCCCCTTCAGCAGTCTTTCTAGCAAAACCATTTTGGCAGCACAAAAAAAAAAAAAAAAAAAAAAA